TAATATAGAAATACAGAAGCGCTAAAGTTGCCGAGGAGAGCGTCGGAAATCAAACGCACCGCTTTGTTTGGCGGTAAACTCAATCACAAAACCCAATGCTTAAATATTTGTGTGATTAGTCCTTATCAACAATAGCAGAAGCAAAAGCAGCAGCAGCAGCAGCGGTCAGGTAGTCTAGTCTCTCAGCTCTACCCATGGACCCACTGCGGCTAAAGTCGAGCGATCCGAGCGCTACCCCTGCTGGCTGGTGGTCGCCGCCGACGCTGTTTGATTCCTTTTTCATTTAGCATCCTGCAGCGACGGCAATTGGTTTCGAATTTTCGTTTTGTACTTTTCGAAACATTTAGTTAATAGACCTTTGCCCTTTGTTTTCAGACGCCCTGACGCCTTTGTTTGTTAGAGCTAGGGCTAGGACTGGGGCTGGGGCGGCTGTTTGCTTGTCGGCCCTTTGTCCGATTCGGTCTACACCTAATGCGCATTTGTTTCAATTAAAAGGATTTGGCCAACTTAGCCTCTGCGTAGATGTCAGCAATATGTTTTACCAGGCAAAAATGTGTAGACAATTTCAATTGGCATGCACCTGTAACGACAACTAAAGCTACAAACAATTTCCTCACCAATTAGTTTTATTTTATTTTAAAAGTAACAGAAAACTACAATCTACAAGTAGTAAAGATTTTGTATTGCTTTTAATTGAAGTAGCAATAAATACAAGACAAACTTGTTAAATTCGATATATTGTTTGGATGTCTATACCTTCCATTTAAACAAACATTTATATTAACTGTGAAGTGGCGATCTTCGCAGAATTTCTTTGATATTATGACAACACGATTTGGAACTTACAACTCTTTGAGGATATCTTAAGCAACTAAGAAGATTTTAAGGAAGTTTTCTTTCTTTTGTTAATAACACCGAAGAGGAGGCGTGGAAGTCTACTTAAAGCAGATATAGGTATATGCAAAAAAAAAATATTTTTTTAATCAGTTAAACAGTCAAGTCGATGTAGATAGATCTGACTCTTCCTCCACTTGCACGACTCTTTTTCTATATTAACGAAACAATTTTCACATATAAATGCAGTATTCAGCAAACACGGTACTTAGTCTCTTATACATAAGAAAGTACTGTTTTATATCATAAATAATTTTGAATTCTCTGATCACAAGTCATGTGCCTTAATGTGAATGAAAGAAATTATGTTGAAAATTTAAATTTTCGAACATTTTTAACTATTCTACCAAACTTAATATTTAATTTTCCCCGCCTATCTCTTTTAATCACTTTTTCTCCCACAGTTAACATTTATGTCAAGACAAACCACATCAGTCATCATCACTACATTATAAACGATATTTGTTTTTAAGGGATTGGGAGCCAAATTATAATTTTATTTTATTAAAAATTGATAGCCAAATGCAAATTAAGTAATATTAATATTAATTAAGTAACAGAATCTATACTCTGTAACAGAAAGTAGTTATAGTTAGCGACCCATAATCATGATTTCTGTCTGTCCGTATTTCTGTAGGCCCGTACGTTTCTAAAATGCATCGAATTTGTTGCCTTCTTTATGCAATAAGAAATAATATATAAAGAAAACCCATACATATACATACATATATAATACGTCGCACGCCAGAAATATATATATAATTCTGATCATATACCTAAAGCTTATAAATAATTAAAAAAATAAAGCTAACAAGTAAAAAAGCTAAAGTCGGGTGTCCCGACTTTGAAATACTCTGTACATATGTTTACAATAATTATAGAAAATAAAAAAATTAAGAAAATAAAAAAAAAAATTTGATCGATTTTACCTCTCTCGGTATTCGAACTCACGTAAAGGGTGTATAATTGCACATTTACATAGCAATTGCGTCTGTGTGAGTGTATGTATGCCTATGCGCATCAATTCGTGTCTGTGTAAGCATTTTCGCAGTCAACCAAACAGCAACATCAACAACAGCCGCGGGCAGCGCTTGAGCAGCGCTGCAGCAGCGCTGCATCAGCAAATATATTTATGGCTATAACTTCTTGTTAAATCGGTCTATCATAATGAAATTTGGCATACGGACACATAATAACTAACTGGGGGTATTTCCAAAATTTTAGTTCGAAATTCCAAGAATTACGGGAGTTACGATTTGCGGGGTAGAGGGGGGAGGGAGGGGAATTCCAAAATATACATTTTCTGCGTATTCACATAAGGCATCTGGGACTAAAATTTGGTGTTCCTAGGTCTTATAGTCTCCGAGATATAGGCGATTATACGAATGGAAAATCGGGAAAACCCCCATAGGGGGGAAGTGGGGGGGAAAATCAAAAAAATAAAACAAACTCGTATAGAATACACACATAACGCATCTTTGTGCAAAATTTGGTGTCTCTATCTCTTATAGTCTCTGAGATCCAGGTGTTCATACGGACGGACAGACGGACAGACGGACAGACGGACAGACAGACAGACAGGGCTAGATCGACTCGTCTCGTCATGCTGATCAAGAATATATATACTTTGTGGGGTCTGCCACGCCTCCTTCTGCCTGTTACATTTTTCAGCTCCCGCAAACCTAATATACTCTTGTACATTTCATGTACAGAGTATAAAAATATCCAAAATCTATTGAACCATGACAGGCACATACGTTTACCTTCATTGCTGGCGGAGCAGCTTGATTTAAAAAATGGTTCCGCGAGATTGCGCTGCTAACTGAAAAGCCTTCACATTGTTTATACAAAAGTGCCAGCTCCATGGTTATAAACAAACTTCATACCCATGCCCGTGCGGTCCTTAATTAATTTCAAAACGTCTAAAATTTATGCACATCGTTATTTTTTCTTTTTTTATGCGTGTGTGTATGTGCGAGTGTTTCATGAAAACGTTTCTAGTTTTTATTTTCTGTTTTATTTTGTTTTTGTCGTTCGAGCCAAATTAATTGTACGTTTTTCTTGCAGCAAATTAATTGCAAACGCTTGACAATTAAACGCGCCCGGGCATCAGGCATCAGGCGACGGGCAACGGACAACGATGATGGCAGCAAGAACAGTGACAGCGGCAGTTGTATGGAGAGGGGGAGGGGGCAGGAGGAGTGACAGCAGCAGAGACCAATGCTGGAGGCACGGCTGGCGTCATTAAAAGGCATGAAGAGGTCTCAGTCGCGTCGCTGTCGCTGCCGCAGCTGCTTCTTGTTCTTCTTATGCGGCCACAGCAGCAGCAACAGCAACAGCAGAGCCGAAGTTGTGAAAACTTTTCGACTAAATACTAAATACAGTCTCGTTACAAACTGAGGAGCGTGTGGAGTTTTTTGCCACTCGTTGTCTGTCCTTCACTTGCTATCTCACTTTCGCACCAATACACACGCGCCAAGCATGATGAACGCCATAATTACCGTTACGTATGCCACCATTGCTATTTTTTGTTGTTGCCCAAGCAGCGGATTGGTGGTGGCGCAGCTTTCGTGCGAACAGTTCCGCCACTACTTCCATCCCACTTCCACTTGCACAACAAACACAAAAACTGGTTGGGCTCTTGGCCTCTCACAGAGAGCGAACAACGACGTCGTGACGTCGCTGCTGTAAACGCCGCCGCCACCGCTTGTTGTCATACCCTATAGCCGAAGGGTAAAGCAGTATATTAGGTTTCTGCAAATGCATGTAACAGGAATGTATGTGTTCCCGACCTCAAAATAAATACATAAGCGATTATTCGTAAGAAAAGTTATTACCAAAAATATGCTTACAGCAATACTTCACTAGGCTTGAATTTGGTACAGTATTTACTTAATATTATGTTTTTTTTTGTTATTATGGTAAGATTAAAATTCAAATTTTGAATAGAATCTGTAATTAATGAGAACTCTTAAAGGTAAGTATAATTCAATTCAATTCAATTCAAATAAAAGTTATTTCTATTTAACAATTTTTAAAACAAATTATACATACATATATACTTATTATACTATATATTTAAAATTACAAACACAAAATTATAAAAATTGTTTTCTGAATAAATGAAATATATAAAGTTTGCTTGTACTATTTCCATCATTGGAACAAAACAATATAGGAAAACTATTTATACTAAAATACAAATTGAAACCTTAGTTGCGAGTCAAATCCTCCCTTTTGAATCCCGAAAAACGCCTATTTTAATCAGTTTATATTTGAGTATCAATATAAATAAAGAATTTTGTATTTGAAACAATTAAATTCTTACTTGATTTAATATATATTTTCTTTCTCTTTAATATTAGAACTAATACTAATACTAATGCGTACAGAGTATCTCGCTGTCGGACTTGCGTCGAGCGTAACATTCTCTCTTGTTCAGTTATGATTTGATTGCCGAGTTTAACCACCGACAAACGAGACACGACGAGCACGACGCACAGAAAACCTGAAAGAGCAAACGATGTTAAAGAGACGAGCAGCAGAGGCAGCGGCGGCAGCAGCAGAGAGGCAGCTGCGGGTTGCGCAGCAAAAGAACTGAAGAAATATCGACATGTCTAGTTAGCAAACCAATCTTCAATCTAGTTTCGAACAGTTGACTGTGAAGCGTCGAGTTGAGAGGTCCTCCTATTGCTATTGGGATCGCGTCGTTTGTATTCGTCGTTCGTTGCACGTCAGAGATTTATTAACAAGCCATAAGTGAACCAAAGTGCAAGGCGCCGCTAAAAAGGCCAACAATTGAACGCCAACTGTTTAGTGCTTTGATTGATATTGAAGTGAGAGCACGAGCTGTCCGCTCTGTCCGCTCCTCCATTCGAATACCGCGTGTGTTAGCCAACTTAACAATATATTCTCAAATATTCTACAGATACATTATTCTAAAGACACATTATCAAGTGACGTCGACGTACATTTGTTCGCAATTAGCCAACTAAACATTACACATAAATCTTATCAAATATTCTAAAGATACATTAACTCTAAAGACACATTATTTAGTGACCCCGACGTACATTTTATCGCAATTTTGCCCCGTCGTTCGTGAAATGCTCTGTCCGCCCACCATGCGACCGGCCAGCCCTGCCGAATCCGAAATCTCCGTCGGTGGTGCACCCAGTCCGTTGCCCGCCGCCCATCACCATCACCAGCTGCTGCACCAACAGCAGCATCCCCATTTACCGCAGCCCTCGCTGGCGAGGAGCGCCACCATTGATCTTCTCCAGCAGCAGCAGCTGCTGATGCAGCAACATGCCGCGGCCGCGGTGGCCGCCGGCCTGACACGCTCTGCCGTCGGCAGTTTGCCGGAGGACTACTTCCAGCCACTGAAACGTTTGCGCATGTCTTCATCCTCATCGGAGCCCAGGGAGCACACACCCAGTCCACCAGCTACTGCACTCAGCATTAGCGCCACACAATCGCCGCCAGCCAGCAACCACAACAACAACAACAGCAGCAGTGGCACCAACACCGCATCGGCCAACACCAAATCTACCGTAGAGGGCGTCAAAAGCTTTTCCATTGCCGACATTTTGGGGCATGAGAAGCAACGCGCTTCATCCGCATCGCCACCAACCTTGACTGCCACGCCCACTGTGCTGGCACCGCCCGCTGCCCGACCTGGCCTCCTCCATCCACGTAGCGAGCCCCTCGATGTGCATCCGGCTGCGGCAGCCATGCTGCTGCCTGGCGCCCAAATTGTGCGTCCCTGGGACCATTTGCTCGGCCCAATGCCGGTGCGTCCCTTCATACCCTCCGCCTTGCTGCACTACGAGCAGCGTCTGGCCCTGGACTATCATCGCCAGCTGCAGGAGCACTTCAATGCCCAGGCCCAACTTTTGCGTCACATGGGCATGGACATTATACCTTCGGAGAGTGGCTCGGATCGCTCCAGCTCGGCAGCCAGCGACTGCTGCTCACCAGAGATTGTTCGTTCCTCCGCAGAGCAGGCAGCTGCGGCTGCTGCGGCCGCCTCGCGCCACAGCCCCCAATCTGCGGCAACCAATGCAGAGCGGGAACGTCATCATTCCGGCGGTTCGGCCAATGCGGGTAGTCCGCAGACTGGCACCGCCTCGGGCAACACATCCAGCGCACAAAGCGCCGCTGTGGCCAAAGCCAAGGCCAATGGCACGCCACTGGACGCACTCTTCCAGATGACAACCAAGGACTTTGATGAGTCGCAAGGTAAGTTCGCAGAAGGGCATTGCATTCAAAAAATACAAGTATATATATATATTTAAGTAAATTGGGTGGGAATCAGAACTGAGACAGGGTTTGGAAATACTATATCATTCGATTTGAGAACAAGTTTCGAAAAATTTAAATAACGATATAATTTAAAGTTCAGTCATCAGGCTACTCCTTTTATTTTAAAAGTACCAACGACCATATCACATCCCTATAGAAATATTTGCTTAAGTTTTTTAAGTAAGTTGGTAATCTAACTTGCTTTAGTTTTAGATCTCAAGATTGTTTTTCAAACCATTAAAACGATGTTTGAATCTAAACGGGAGAAAACTAGAAAAATTTCAAAATAACTTGAGGATAGATAAATATCATAAAGCGAGCTTGTCGTTTTGACCATTCTTGGGTCTTTTTCAACTCTATAGAAAAAAAAAACAGTTTGAAGTTTTTACGATTGCTTGATTGAATAAAAATACTTGTATAATTTACTCTTATTTATTTTACAAAACAAAGTTGAAATAGGTTCAGGAGCATATTCAAGTTTTTCCAAAATCATTCCTGATATCTGTTTTTGTTTTGCTTGTTGTTGTTCTATATTTTTAAATATTTGAAGAGTTCAAACAGCTTAATAATTTATATATCTTATGTATTGTTGTATTGCTTCTTTATCTTAAGAAAAGTTTCTCTAATATGATCGCTTGCCCTCAAGAAAGAAATTTGATTGAAACATAAAAGACTCAACATTTCTTTAGCAGGATAAAGAAGACAAAACTTCAAGCATTTATATTCGTATAAGTAATAATAGTCCTGACAGAGAGAGAGATTTCTAAGTCGCTCATTCAGTGTCTTTTTCAACCATTTCAAAATTGAAAAGATAAATTACTATTTTATGAATTTAAGGTATGTCTGTTTTTCACAATTTATAGTGTCATTTAGTAAAAGTTTCTTTATTAGTCCATGATTTCACAAATGATTGACTTAGTCATTAATTAATAGGCCACAACTGGGTCATTTATTTCACTTAATTAAAAGCTTATACTAGATATTGTTGAGGTACTTCAAATACTTAATTGAGCTTTCAATTCCCATCGCATTAGGTATTTATATATGAAATCATTAATACGCCGACTGCTGTATTTACGATTTGAAAATGATTTATATGGTATATGGCTTTATTGATTCTTAATACCCTGACTCATTCAACTCTGCCTTGGATGTGTCATTTGACACTCCAATTAATTCTGTGCTCATTTATTTCGAGCTCATTGCCTTGCCAAATATTTTGACAAATGTCCCGATTCCCGCTTGGCGAGGTTGCTTTTAAAAATGTATCCAATAAAGCCTAAAAGCAATTTATTTGCAACAATGTTCAATTGAAATGCGGTATGTGTGTGTGAGTGCCATTCAAATATTGTATTCATTTAGGAAAGTACAAGTATTTCTGTTTAATTGAAATGCTTGCCAGTCTGGCGTTTAGTGGGGCTTGTTTCTAATTAATTGGCAAGCCGTGCCAAAAGAAAAAGTACACAGAAAGAAAACTTTTCACAAGTTTAAGGTTATACTATATTTCGATCGCTCATAACAGAGTCAGTAATGATGAATGATGTCATTGACGAAAATTATATCTGAATGTAGATTCAGAGTCAACCATATCGACACTAATTTGCAGCATTAAGTGGGCGTTATTTTTTACTGCCAACCTTCTCTGCCCCTGCCATAGCCAGCAAAGGCTGAATATTTAGTGCTTTCATGGCAATTCATCTTTAATGGCTGTACCCGCACAATATGAACTGTTAGTACTTATACTACTTACATACTATATATATTAGTATATACTCGTATGTATGTATGAATATTTTCGTGTCTATTCTGCAACGATTAGCAACAATTACCAAACGAACGAATCAACGAATGCATTACTATACTTAATGGCCTTTGTGTGTGAGCAATTAACATGCCAATTGGCAATTGCCAAGTGCCAACAGGCAACAACCAACTGCCAACTGCCACCAAAGCCAAATGGTCGTAAATATGCTTAAAATAACAGTGACAACTAATAGAGTGTCGCTGTTGTATAATCATATTATTTATCGTATTGTATAACCAAAAGACAAACGAAATATTTATGATGGTAGTGAAAACATTTGGTGCTGCTCTTCGCTGGCTTAGATAGCGTACCCGTAGTCGTGCGTGGTCGTTTGTCGCTCAACGCCGCCCTATCTGTGTGTGGCTATCAAATATGTATATAGTACAAGTACTATATGTTTAGTTGCAGCTTACACTGCGAGCAGCATAGCGAGCACATTAATATCATTGACACATTCCCCGATCTAAATATATCACATTAAGGAGTGACATACAATTTTTAGATGCCACTTGTTAATAAATAGATGCTGACTATAAACTATTTGACAAATGCATAAACGAAATATAAATATTTTCAAGTCGCAGTTGAAGTTTTCGAACTGGAAATAATACGAGGCAATTATTTCTACACTCAACTCATAACTATATTTAATTTTCATTCAAATAAAAATGAGATAATTCAGGACAATAAAACCCCAAGCTTGACTTGACTTTGGATAAAATTTGTTCTTTTACCTGAGAATTTCGAAAATGGAAACGGAAATGTTATTTTGAATAAAAGTTGAACCCAATTTTGAGTTAAATTTTTGAACATTTACAGGAAACAGTTGCGTAAACTTATAATATATATTATTGAAAAACATTTTCTTTTCTTTCTTTTTCAAAAAACATTTAACCCATTTTTGAAAATATTTGCTTTTCCACAAAATGTATTGAATTTATGAAACATAAAAATCAGCTGTTTCGGGACAATATAACCTCAAGCCTGACTTGACTTGGGATAAAATTTGCTCTTTTACCCGAGAATTTCACAAATGGAAACGGAAATTTGTATTTTAACAAAATTTAACCCAATTTTAAGTTAAATTTTTGAACATTTACAGGAAACATTTGCTTACATAAACTTATAATATCAATTATTAGAAAACATTTTCTTGTTTCAAAGGGCAGATTTTCTTTTGCCGTACAAAAAATTTTCTTGCCAAATGAGATTTCTTTTCAAAAAACAATTAACCCATTTTTGAAAATATTTGTTTTTTCACAAAATGTATTGAAATTATTTTGACGTTTTTCACGAAACATACCAGCATATAATAATGGTTTTAAATTTATTTAAATGTATAAGAAGGAAAACATATAAATATAAAACTAATAGAAAACTGCGACATAATGAAACAATTTTATACCGTTCAATAGATTTAGTGTTCAAGTAGATATTAATTACAGATTTTCTGATATTTTCGAATAAAAAGTACAGTCAATATAAAGAAAAGTATTAGAAGCTATAAGTTAGGAAAATGAAATCTTTGTTTTAAGCCTTATTTGCACACCTCCTCCCTCAATTGTTCATGGCCATTTTACTATTTTGAAAATGTTCTCCATAAGTATAAGACTCAATCTTTCATGGTTAGTCTATTATTTTGAAGATGTTTTCCATATTTTGCCAGACACTCTGTCGTCTGGATTGTCCGAATTCTCTGTAACTGCTCGCATTAAATAAAAATGTAGCAACTGTTCCAAATAGGGTTACCTAGAACTGCATTTCTCGCATCCATCAAATGCCACTTGCCGCAACTCAAATTTCAGATGTGCTGCAAACATATTTCTACAGATTGTTGCGTCTGCAGTGAAAGTAACTTCGATGTCTGTCCAAATGTCTGACAAATGCGACCAAAACAAACCACCCCTTAAATTAAGCAGAGAAAATTTATGTAAGTGGACACCTGAGACCGAGCCCCGGAGACCGGAGACCGGAGACGTGAGACCTCGGCCAGAGCCAAGTGAAGTGCACAAATTAGTGGCAGACAGACACATTTCAGAGCATACCCTAACTTTTGAGAGTGTGTTGTGTGCGTGTGTGTGTGTGTAGATAAGTCACAAACATTACTTAATGAGTTTGTGATAAAAACAAATACAGCTACTCTGCATAAAGTAGGGGTGTAGAAACACTCACACACACTCTCTCTCACACACACACACACACACACACACTCACTCACTCAAGTGCTTAATGCGTTTTGGGTTACAAAACGGCTGGCGAGCCAGATAAGCAACGAAATTATGCGTTTGTATTTCAAATATAAGTGGGTATGCATTTAATTTAGTCGAAGCGTTTAATTAGTTTTTAATGTCGTGCTAGTTTGTCTGACAAACGCTGAGATCGGGTGTGAAGCGTTCAAGAAACCGGTCGACAAATGTCTCAGGTTTTCAAATTAGTTTACCTGCATATTGAAATAAATATTTATGTAGCCAAGCTGTTGAAAGCGAACATTGGAAGCCTCTTCTTTGAAGACACAGTAGCCGCATAAATTTATGAACGTGAACGTTACCCTGAAAGTGTTACGAAACCAAGTATTGTAAGCCATAAGTACTATAGTATAAGTATATATGCCATATGTTTTCTCATTCATCAAGTCGGCGTTACACTTAAAACTGATTTGTATGTGTCAATAGTTGTTTGGCATTAATTATAAATCAACGAGCAAACGAGACAAATGAGCGGATTGCATAAAAGCAAGAGCTGAGCTCAGAGTCATTAGACAGGCCAGTAAAGTCAATAACGCCCACGATGAGGCGCGCAATTAATCACAACTAAATTATATGTATATATAGTATGTATGTAGACAGAGTTAAGCTGGAGACGTGTGTGGTGCGCAATTGCTTGGAAAAACGTTTGCAATTAAATGATTAAAATATATAAATCAAAGCGTCTTAATTAACAACCTGCCTGACCAACACGCTCCACCAAGCAGTTAGACTGAATGACAGGCACTTGCGAGCAATTAAAAATTATATTTAACACGACAAACCGGTCCGGCAGATGCCAATGACTATGAATAACACCACAGACACACACACACACACATAAATATAAATAAATATTTACTATGTATATCCAGCTAATCTCCTCTCTTTCTCTCATTGCTTGCAGACAAATCCCATTTGGACATTTTCTCGAACCGACCGCAGCCAAAAAAGAAGCGCAAGTCACGCACCGCATTCACAAATCATCAGATCTTTGAGCTGGAGAAACGCTTCCTCTACCAAAAGTATTTGTCACCCGCCGATCGAGATGAGATCGCCGCCTCTCTGGGTCTCTCCAACGCCCAGGTGATCACCTGGTTCCAGAATCGACGCGCCAAACAGAAGCGCGACATTGAGGAGCTGAAGAAAGACTTCGACAGCGTCAAAGTCTTCTCGGCCCACAAATCATTTCTCGAGAATGTCAACGATCTGAGTATACTGAAGAAGAAACCGATGCATGAAGCCGATATGGTGGGCTTGGCAGCAGCCGCTGCTGCCGGCATGGTGGGGGTTCCCCCATCCGCCTCCGCTGCCGCCGCCGCTGCAGCAGCCGCACAGGCCGCCCTCGGTGCGCCCAAATGAGTGCCCCAAAATGTGCGTACAGTGCATTTGCATATTGATGAATGGTACAGAAAGTGAGCAAAGTATTGTGGACAGCATTTTGAAAACACGACTACGCCCCCGTAGTAGTGATATTTTGTTTGAATTTTTACCGCCAAGCGCCCGAGTCAGGACCAAGGTCAAGTCAATTGTCTGAGGCATGCCTCCAAAGCGAAGCTGCCACAATTGGTTGCCGACTGGCACTTGGATGAGAACAACAAAGAGACAGACAGAGCAGGCTTAGCAACAGCTAAGCTGGCACATTAACTGGATTTGACTAAATGGACTAAAGCCACACTGGCTAGTAACCACCTCGCAAGGCACTGACAAGGCCCTGAACAGCTAGGAGCTACGGCCCGCCTGGAAAGGGCCAACCATACTCAGCACTACACCAATGTTAACTAGCAAGGAGAATAAAAAGAGCTACAACTACTACTCAGCTACAACCCCAAACGGCTCTTTTCAGAGCCACCAAAAATCTAAAACAAAGAGTATTCAAAACCAAATCAAAACAAAGAATTTGATGTTGTTTAATTCGAACAGCCTCTTTTCTCAGTGATAATAAAAGCATATATTAATTAAAAAGCTGCCTACTAATTCTACTGTTTCTCAAAAAATTAACTATTAACGGATTTATAGGAAAAGGGGTAACAAAAAAGTAAAATATATTTTATTACATTTAAAAGAAAACAATTTTAGCCAGACCTTCAAGCAAGACATATTTTCAGAATTGCATAGCTAGATTTTCTACTCTATGATTGAATTAATTGGTTAATCTCGACATTCCGATAAAAACTTGTCTTTAAACCACTCTCGGGCATTCGTTTTGAAATATTTGACCCCCAATTGGGGTAAAAGAGAATTAAAACTAAGTTTAAATTTAAGTTTTTACTATGTTCTGTTTTGCTGTAAGAGAAATAGTAAAAGAAGCAAACCATTAAAACCATCTGCTCTCTTCATTTGTCTACTCCAAATAGAACGATTGGCGCGATCAGTAAAATCCTTCATTTGTTACAAATCGAAAATAAAATTTGAAAAATGGATCTGCTGCTTAAAATTTCCGAGATGCTTCCGTTCATCAGATAAACAAATTATTACGATCTCTCCCTCTGTCTCTCTCTCTCTCTCTCTCTCTGTTTGTTTTACATGGTTTGTTCTTCAATAAGGGATTAAAGCCGCAATGTTCGAATTGTTAGCAAACAAACAGGATGCTTTATTAAATGTATGGTGCCAGCCACACATTCCCCCTGGGGTAGAGAGAGAAATTTATCCCGTATCTGTACCTTTTACAGAGAGTACAAAGTTCCGCTTGAACCGTCCGTAATTTAGATATTAACCGCAGCCACCACTTCATCAACCGCAGGGAATAGTGAGCCAGGGAGAGAGAGAGAGAGCTTCGTTTGCCCACCCCTTTAACCATTAGGAATACTTCAAATAGACCAACCATGTCTCATAGTAGAAGCGGTGAAATACTTGTACTATGGTGTAGTAATATTCTAAACAAATAGTCTCATTCTTTCATGGCACACACCCTCTTGAGTGTTAAAGCCATTCTCAGATACCCAATCTCCCCTCAGATAATAGCTTGGAAGAAGAAAAGTTTTCAATCAGAAGCCACAAATAAAAATTATTATTAGAGCACAGTATAATTAATAAGGTTTTAAATAACAAATAACAAAAAACCCAAGAAATATTTTTTGTCAATAAATTTTAACATATTTAGGCAAACAACGCACAATCGTCGCAAGCCATTAAAGAAACGAGTCCAAAGCATTCAGACGGCCAGTTCGGCCCAGTCTCTCAGTCCCTCAGTCGCTCAGTCCTCCAATCTCAGTCACTCATTCATTCGTTTGCATTCATTTCGAATTCAAATTTGCTATCAAACTGAAGAGAAAGATGAGGGAGAAGGAGAAGGAGAAGAAGAAGAGGAGGGCGAAATTATCTGATGATGTTGCTACGTATTTTGTTAGCAGGCTCTTAAAATAAAAGAAATCTTTTTTAATTTTTATTAATGATTATTTACAACCGTTATTCATAAATTCAAACTAATTAATTATTAATTTTATCGTTTGGCAAAGCAAAGGCAGCAGCAAAAATAGAATTAGTCGCTTAATCGCAACCGCAACAACAACACTAACAACAAAAGAGCTTAAGCCGCGCTTCAAGTGTTTAAAACCGAGCACGTTTTGCAGTTTGCAGCATTCCCCAATTTGCATAGACAATTTATTTAAATGCGATTTGAACAAAATTATTTCGATATTTATTAATTTCAAGCATTCGATCGCTTAACCATAACACTAACCAACAAGTTAATAATAAATTGTTGCCATCTCCAAATAGCAGAGATGAATGAATGTGAATGAAAACGAAATACAAATATTTTGAAGAGGGAAAGGTTGTCTATTTCTTTCTATTTACTTTACAACACTATTTATTTATTTAGCTTGAAAATCTGAATTTTAAAAAAGCTAATTCTTTTTATTACGAATTGGTTTCAATATTTGATTAATCGGTATATATACGTTTTTTTGGAATGTTGACTTTTCTACTCTTTTACCATTAATGATCATCACCATTAATGATCCTTCAATACACATCTCTCATTCTATATCTCCCTTCAACTATTTATTATCATCTATAATGCATATAAAAATGTAAATTTCTTTGCTTTTTTCTCTGCCTCTGGTAACTAAATAAGAACTACCCATCATGAATTCTATCTGCACAACTAATCTCTCAACTAATCACTCTCTCTTTCTCTTTTCCTCTCTTTCTTTCCTGTTCAAAAGAGTTACTTTGTAGTCAACTTCCAAAAAATTTCTGACCATATAGCGACATCAATACATCGATATTAATTGCATTGCATCATTTATATTTTGAAAATGTATTTAATTTTTGTAGCCTAGTGTTATAGCTTGGCAGGGGAATGCTTTAAATTATCGACATAATGTTGTTGAAAACAATTCGTATTAAAATAAATTGACAAATATATTAGATTTGATATTAAAGTAAAAAGAAAAAGAGAGATGTTTTAATTACTTTCGGTTTTATATATTTTTGATGTCGTAGTATTTTGAATTCATTCTATTGCAGAATTCTTAATTAAGCCAAATGATTAAAATACTCAATAAACTATTTAAAAATTAAGAAATCCAAATGCAGATATTCAACATTTTTTGAATACAATATTAAAATTTCGCTCAAAAATATTAATTATATTAATTATTATTAAATTAAATTTGATTTGCAAATGTGAAATAATAGTCGGATATTGGATCGTTTTTATTTTTTTAAATATTTTTTTTATTATTATTTTTTTTTTTTTAAACTTGTAGCTAGTTTTTGAACTCATTAAATGCCTTTGCATAATAATATTATAGTCACCTATTCGGGTATTAAAATGACTGTAAACTAGTGTTTTTTTTTTGTGTTTCCACCGTTCAGCAACTACGGCACATGCTACCGTATGCCGCATATGGCGGCTAAGTTCAAAGACTGCCCGCTGGCGCACACATTTTTCACTCTCAGCTTGGCTCAGCTCTCGACTCCCCGTTCCCCGCTTCCCACTCCCCACTCCGGGACCACCCGACCCACAAACCACGACCCATGACGACTCTCCGAATCTTTGACCTGCTCGCACACTTTGCAGCTCATTTTCGTTGGCAGTGGCAGTGGCACAACTCTGAAGCACGCCATCAATCGCCATTGCCATCATCGTCGTCGTCGTCTGATCGTTTGTTAATAATTTGAATAATCAAGCTATCAATTCCGCTGCTAATGATGCCGATCGATTGTGTAGCTGGTCACCGAACTAGAGCTTGGCTTACAGTCATTTCATTTCAGATTTTATTTTTGGCCGACAATCGATTGTCTCTCTCACAGTTCGTAAACTAGGTGGAAAAGCCTTTTGCATATGCATGAGAAGCGACCAACTTGTTGGAGTCTTTGGGCCATTTATTTTCATTTTCAAATGTGTGACAATGCAACGCATGCGTTGCGATAAGCTAAAATACTTTTTAAATGGCCAGTTCAGTCCGCCATTTGGGTGTTATTAATGCGTTTTTGAAAGTGCTGGCGAAAGTTGCCAACCAAAGACGTTTAATTGAAATTGAGTCATTGGGTGAAACCATCCAATTCGAGTGGACGCCAATGGTGGTGGGCTCCAACACTACATAGCTCTGGCATTGGCTCACAATAAAATTACACACTATTACCGGTGGCATTTAATTTTAGTAGCTGAGAAAATTGAGTAAACTGTGAGGAACTCTAATTATGGGAAAATCTCAGCACTTCCGTAAAAAATAAACAAACGAACGAGCGAACGAGCGAACAACAGCCATTGTGGGGCGCCGTATAAAAATGCGTAAATGTCGAAACTCATTAATCGAATCAACTAAAAATGACTAATGAACACACAGCACACTAACTTGGCTTTAACTTAATGAGCGAAACTTGGAAATTGTTGGAGCTGTAAAATAATGTTGTGCCCCCAATGTTGAGTCGAGTGAAAAGCGTTGATATTTAGCATGTATTTTGCTAGAAATTAAAACAAATTATTAAATATTAAGTTGGGTTTTAGGACAACAAGCAGCTTTCCTATTTGGTTAAATTGAATATCAAACAAATTATTCAAAATAAACAGCAAGAACTCTGTCGTATTTGAAGCCAACAAATAGGTTTTAGTTTTTAGTCTGAACTTCAAGCTATATCTAAGTCATTTCTATGATCTAAATCAAACATTTTATTCTTTGATCACAGTTGAAAACAATCTAATGAAGAAAGAAGATTATCCACTATTTCAGAATTAAGAGAGTTAAATAATCATTAACTTCCTGTCGATTATAATTGAAGCTTACTTCATTCATCTTAAATCTGCTCGAAGGCCACTGATGAGTTTAAAAGAAATGTTATTTCACATTTTGACAGAACTTAAGAACGAAAATTCTTAAAGTGAAGTCGAAAGAACCACCACTATTTGTCTC